CTGGAAAGTGAGAGGGGAAAGAACCATCAGGGCAGAGGGCATGGGTGCATGCAAAGCCCCGAGACTTCAAAACAACTGTGTGTGCCCTCTGGGAATCCTTAACACATGGTTGCTCGAAAAGGGTCGCTTTCTGGGAGAAAACACCCAAGGTTTTGATGGTTATCCCTCAACACAGCTTTCAACCCCAAGCAGATTATATTATGGCACGCTAAACAACTCACAGTGGTACCCAGGCTCTAGAACCAACCTATCCTCCTTTCCAACCACAATGTACAAACGCTCGTGATGGCTACAAGACCTAGAAACACAGATGCCGGCATGGCGGGCTATGCAATGGACACAACTTTTCTTCTTCACTCATTGCCACAAATAACATTCACACACTTGATATTCAATTAGAAACTGAAATCCTGACTGTCAAAGCCACTAGCTGTCCCCATCTTCTGGTCCAACTGATGTAATTACAGGTGCCCCTATCTCTATGGCTAAAGGGAGTAGAAGGTGGTAACTGGTTGAGAGCTGTGAGCACATGGATGAGTAGTTTTTGCCTGCTTTCCCTCTGCAGCCATCTGAATGGTCGTGCCCAACTCTCAAGTTCACCCCACCTTACTCCCACCCCAATGATGGCTTTTGGGAACAGAGTTTTTTAGAAGACAATTAGGTTGTGAGAAGTGACCTTAAAAGTCCCAGACAGAACCTTTGCCTCTGGCAGGATGCAGCAAGAAGGCTCAGCCAGGAATGGTTGGTGCCCTTTTGTCTTTGTTTCATCTTTCCTGCTTGTAAAACGGGGATACCAAAACCAGCTGATTTTGAAGGCTGCAATGAAGAATTAAAGTAAGTGAAATGACATGTTTTCTGTAGACGGCCTGCGCCAGAACTAGGTGATGCACTCAATGAACACTGGTCTCTGTTGAGACCCAGCTATGCGGCTGCCCCCAATATACTAGGGAAACAAGATAAACATGTGAAGAAACCAAAAGCATGAGAATGTTGTTTTTGGTTTATTTATATATCGATTATGGAAGGAGACAGAGAAAGAATGAAAAGCAGCACAAGAAAAGACACTGGGTTATTTTTCTTTTCCCTCTTTCTCTCTTTTTTTTTGGATACGGTCTTACTATGTAGCTCTGACTATACAGAACTCACTTTGTAGAACAGGCTAGCTTCAAACTCACAGAGACCTACCTACCTCTGACTCCCAAGTGCTGGGATTAAAGGAGTGTACCACCATTCCCTGCTTTTTTCATGGTTCTGGGGATTGAAGCCAGGATCTTGCACATACTAGGCGGGTGCCCTGCCACTGAGCAACATACCCGGTTCCTTTTATATTTTTACTTTGGAACTGGGTTTCAGTCAAGGCTGCCTTGAATTCTCTCTGCATCATGAGTAGGCCTTGAAGTTGTCATCATCCTGTCTTAGCCTCTGAAATACAATTTTCTAGAAGTTATTCTAGTCCAGCCTCAGAATTCAAAATCTTAAATGGACATTTCTAAACTTCAACATGTATTTAAATTGCCCTAAGGTCTTATTATAGTAGATACACCTGGGCCTCCTTGCAATGTTTCTGATTTAGCTGGTCCAGGGTGGACCCTCAAGGATGTGCATTTGTAGTAAGTTCCCAAGAGATGCTGACGCTGTTGGTCCCACAGTCTGTACTGAACCCACAGAGGTCCTTTGTGCTGGAAGGATAGACTCTAGGATTGTTATTGGTACCCAAGTCATGGACAGTAAAGACTGAACACAATGTTTTTGGCTAGACACACACCTATGGTAAGTTTTATTTTTAAACTAGACACAGTAAGAGATCAATAGCAGTAGTTAGAAACATGACTACTCTGGAACTCTGGTCCATTAAAGGTTGCTGGTGGTAGTTGTTTTGGCTTCTAGGACAGGGTCTCACTGATACCCAATCTGGCCTCCAATTCATGATCCTAGATTGACTTCAAATGCATAATCCTCTCATGTGCTGGGTTTCATTTCATACATTTTGCTATAAGTTGTGCACAGAAATAAGCAACAAAAAACCAAGGCATCTAAAATAATGTGAAGTTATTCATTCATTAAAAGTCTCAGGGATGTGGAGCTAAACCTGGGCAATAAAATTTAAACATTATGTAAAAAATAAGCCTGTAGACACCAGCATCTTTAACACACCATAACAGGTACAGACTGGGAGCTTGGCAAATGAGTTCTAGTGAATGCTAAATACTCAAACTGCAACAATATTGATTTGTTTCTCTTTGTTCTCAAAGTCATGGCAAAGTGGTAAATTAAAACCCTGCCTAATTTGTTTGTTATTGGACATTCTTTGATGTAATAACCTTTCACACTTCCATTAACGTCTATTAATTTAATGCTATGTTATTAAATTCTGGGGGAGCAGTTTAACTGGTATTTTCACTTTAATTTGTGAAAGAAGAGAAATCTGACTCTGGTCCTCATTTTAAAGTGTGTCCTTGGAACACTGTACTCTAACAACATCAGGTCTCACTAAGGCCTTCTTTAGTTCATGTAATTTCTATATCAGTGAAAGATTTTGTTCAAATAATGGTGTAAAAAGTCTCATGAGGCCAAACTTCAGGTTATAAAGAGAATTATTCATTTTAACTCCAGAATAGATTATTCCAGAAACTGGTATGTGCCATACTTTTATGTTTTTATTTAATTGAGTCAAAGGAAATAAAGTTTTAAGGAGAACCAAAAAACATGCATATAATCCAAGCTTCATTGGTGAACTCAACATTTGAAAAGAAAACGAAACTTGAACTAAGTAGTCAGTGTTCTACAAACGGAGATGGATTGCTTTCTTGGACAAGAAATACAAACAATTATGCTAACACTCAAAGTATTTGAATGTGATGTTTTTACTAGATGCCCTTTACCTCAACTGAGAAATAGATATATAAGACTTCTGACTAGAGATGGGGTATTATGCTTGAGATTTAGGAATACTATGTGTTTCTAATCAGGCTTCTATATTAGTTAACAAGTGCTGAGAAATTTGCACCCATGAGCTTAAAGTTAAATTTAAAAATTCATATTGTCTTTCATTTATGTACAAGTTCTTTTATATTTTTGAGTTTATAATATAATTATAATATTTCTCCTTTCCCTTCTCTCCCTCCAAATTTTCCCATATACCCCTCTCTACTCTCCTTCAAATTCATGGCCTCTTCTTTCATTAATTGTTACTACATGCATATATGTATATGTATATACATATGTTCCTAAATATAACCTGCTCAGTCTATGTAGTGTTACAAGTTCTTTTAAAAGCAAATGACACATTTTAAAAAACATGGTAAAGTCTTAAGAATGCAACACGTTTTAATGTGTCTAACTCTTTCGTATCCCTGCAAAGCTGGTGGTTATAGAAAAATTATTTTCCAAAGAGAGATGTCCCAATAAACATTCAAAGATATTTGAGTGATCCAACAACACAGGCGATCCAACAAGTTGGAAATAGTCTGTGTCTTTAATTGGGGTCTCTAGATCCAAGTATTCAGATATGTTTTATAGATTCAAGTATTTTTCTTTATGCTTTTCAATTTGATTTCCTCATTTTCTACTTCACATAAAATCTGGTTATTTTCTTATTGTTATTAGTTGTGGCCAACAGATCTTCAAAGTGGTCCATCAGTGTAGAAACCGAGGTTGGACATTTGGCTCTGTGCTGTGAAATCATGGTGTATCTGGGTCTAAATGATATTCCTGTAACTCAGGTCATATTATACATTGAGTTCTTAGTCATGTTCCCAGAAAACATACCACCTGGAAGATCCAGAGCCATTTCTTCTGGTGACTTACCAAGTTGCAGAATAATGACTTCATTGTAGAAGCGAATAAACATCTAGACCTCATACTGCAAAGGGCTTTGGGGAATCTTTTCTGGGGATGCCACTTCACCCTCATATTCTCTCAGGTCCTCAGTACAATACTCCTATCCCCTGCAGCCCTTCCATGAGGTATGCTAACTTTCTCCCAAGGCGGAACTAGCCATATATAATGTAGGCAGCAATCTAGCAAGGATCCTGCTACAAACCTGATGAACACTGAACGAGCCCAGTTAACCTCAGAGCAAAGGGGAAACAGGGATAGCCCACCAATCTAAGCCGAGGGGAGAAATCTGGGAGTTCAGAAAGACCAAAGCAGCTAGAGCTGGCAGGAGAGAGGAAGTTTTGAAGAACTTCAGAAAGTCTCCTTGAGTTTTGAGCTGAGGTTGGATCAGCACATCTGTAGGAGATGCCACTTGAAAAGAACCAGTAGAATAAACTTTGACCCCTCATAGGACCAAAGAGAGCTAGACTCCTTAATGCCCAGGTTAGGGAGGGGGTCATTTAATATATGGCACCAAGCCCTAGAACCCTCAAGACGGAAGGAGAGACTCAGCTCCCATGAACTGTCTCTCTGATGTCCACATGCTCACCATGGCATGCACACCCATGCACCTACATAAATAAATAAGTGTAATAATAAAAAGAAGAAAGTCTCAAACCCCCAAACTATTGAAAAGTAACTACATGCAAGACTAAAACTCAAGGATATTGTTAAAGCACTCTACCATTCAGCACACAGCAAAATAAAGTCCACAGTGTTTGGCTTCCAGGATGAAACCACAAGCACTGCCAAGCATTGGGAAAACTCATGAGCTATCATGAGGACAGTAATCAGCTGAACTCAATTCTGAAATGATATATGTCACTGCATTATATGCAGGTATTAAAATGACTATTGCAGATATTCTCCATAAGTTATAAAAGATAATTATGAAAAAGTAAGAAAAATAAAATATAAAAATAATACATCTGATTTCTAGACACAAGAAATTCACTGAAGGGAATTAGTAGATTAACTATAATATAAGAAACAAATTAGTCATCTCTATGAAAACATAGAGCATATAATAGAAAAAAATCTTATCAGTATCCATTCATGAAGCCTACTATACATGTTCTTGCAGCCTCTGTACATGAAGGGCAAAAAATATTTCCAAACTGTAA